CATTTGCCACTTCCTGTCAGTTTTGTTTCTTCTTATTTTAGGGTTATTTTCAGCACTGACTTTGTTTTTTTGCCTAGTAAATAAGTACAGCTGAAATGTGGGCAGGTAACAGTGGAGAGTTTTAGGAAGATTGTTGCACACTGACGTGTCTGTGGGCACAGGTAAGGTCATGGTGGGAGGCACCCAGGTGAAGGATAGAGCAAGGCTTGGGGCTGGTCAGGGGAAGATAGTGTGGGCACAGGTGCATGGCCCTGTGTGTCCTCCCTTCATGGATGATGGGGCCAATGTTTCTGACCAGGTCATTTATTGCTGTGAAACCAGAAGAGCCAAATTCAAAATCAGCACCGCTCTGTGCATTCAGGAATCTAAATCTCTGAGACCTTGGCAAGGTCACTCTCTGGGTCTGAGTTTCTTCAAGTGGAAATTCAGGGCAATTGTCAAGAGGCTCCCTTCCAGGATTGCTGGAGAGATCAAATGAGACCATCATATGAGCAGAGGGAGTACAGCCAACCATAAATTAGATGGTGACCCTGGGGAAGGAAGAGGTGTGCAATGACCCCCCCCCCCCCCGCCCTGCACTGTGGGGCGAATGGTGGGCTGGGAGCGTGGAGGTGTGCAGAGCCAGGAAGACCAGGCTGAGTGAGACTGCCGTGGCCTCAGCTGCACAATGTGCAGAACAAAGCTTCAGGCAGCCTCCATTTGCAGTGTCCTCACCGAGAGGCATGTGGCCTGTGGCCAGGGTGCAGTTCCACCCACACACTTGTGCAGCCTGGAATCCCAGGTCACTGATGGCTTCCTTCAGGGCCATCTCTGACTTCTGAGGTCTTGCCCAGGCTTGGCCAACTTGGCAGTTGGGAACAGCTGCACCCAGCAAGGTTTGCAGCTTGGGCTCAGCTCGGAGGTCCCAGTGCTTATAGAAGGTCAGCTGGGGACAGTGTGGCCTTTTACTGTGGCTCAAGCTGTGATGCTGCCATGGGAATTCACTCTGCACACACAGAATGTCCCCTTCTCTCACCAAGCAGGTCCCCTGCCCTGTGTCCTGGGCTCAGGGGAGGCCAGATTCATGAGTGGTCTCTCCTGAGTTTTATTAAGGACCCTGGCTCTGGAGCTCTGGTGGGCTATGGGGGGCTGGAGGATGTCCCCAGCAAACCTGCGTGGGCACTTGCTCTGTGTATGGCATCTCTGCCGGTTTCTTAGAAGCCTCATTCCTCTGAGCTGTTTGCCCCAGGAGAGGGAATCCTTGTGGTCCTGCGTGGTATCTCTGGGGTCACAGTTTGTCCCACCTCGCTTTTCATGAACTTTTAAAAAAGTATATTTCTTTTAGTTGTAGATGGACACGATATCTTTAGTTTTATTTGTTCATTTCTTTGTGGTGCTGGAGGTCGGGTCCAGGGCCTCACTGTGTGAGGCAACCACTCTACTATTGAGCCCCAGCCCTGGCCCTCATGAACCTTTTACTTAAAAAGTGGCCCAGAGAAAGGTGAGGGCTTCCTTTGCCCAGCCTGAGGGGCAGGGGAAGGTGCCACACTGTGCAGGGGCCATCAGCCACACCTTTGGCTAACCTCCTGCAAGCCCCCTGAGCCTGGGGTCCCTGAGGCTCTCTGTGGGCCTTGGGGTCCTGCTCCATGGCCAGCTTGGTTGTGTGCAGGCTGGCAAGCACCTGCGGGAAGGAGGGTTAGCGTGTCTCTGTTTAAAACTCAAGAGGCCCTGTCTGCTCCCCTGCGGTGTCACTCTTGGTTTCCCCAGGCGTGCGGGTGCCGTGGTTTGGTCCTCCTTGGTCAGCCGTCTCCTTCCACCCACCCCGGCTGTCTCCTGGGGCTCCCATCTCTTCTTCTGGCGGTCTCAAATTCTGTCCTCGTGGAACCTGCCTCAGCCGCCCTCTGGAGCGGTCTGTCTTCTCTGACTCTCCTGGGGCTTATTTGCCTGGCCTCTGCAGTCCATCTTGTCCCTTTATTTCATGGTCACCTCCTGGAGGGCAGGGGCAGCCCCTTGCTCTCTTTTGTATTTGCCACATCACCTAACACGGTGTCAGAAAAGCAGTCAAGCCGTGTCCACCCCATCTTGGGATCAGAAACCACGATTCCAGGTCACAGTGGCTTGTGCAGGGTGTTCAGAGTGCCCCCAAGGTAGGAGACCTTTTGCGACACTTTTGACATATCAGTTTGGAGTCTGCTTGGTCAATGATAGAGAGGTGAACAGCACAGGTGGCATTTAAGAGGAGGGCCCTGGAGTTGATTGAGTTTGAAAACTGCCCTGTTGTTTTTTTGCTATGTGACCTCAGTAAGATATGGAATTCTCTAGAATTCAGCTTTCTTAACTGTAGAGGCAACTATATATATTTCAGAAGTGTCAGTCTTTCATATACCACAGAGAAAGAAAATTTGCTGTCAATGAAACAATGATTCAATGTTTCATTTATGCTCATGGAAGTAACTCTTAGATACATTTAGGCTTTCAGGAAACCACAGGCCAGCTGGGCACGGGCCAGCTGGGCACAGTGGATCCCAGTGGCTGGAGGCTGAGGCAGGAGGATTGTGCATTCAAAGCCAGCCTCAGCAAAAGCGAGGGACTAAGCAATTCAGTGAGACCCTGTTTCTAAATAAAATACAAAATAAGGCTGGGGCTCAGTACCTGCCCCTCTACCCCTGGCCATTCTTTGGAAAGAAGAGTGCATGGGTTGGGGTGCCTGGAGAAGGCTAGTCATCACACTTGGAGACTTCTTCAGCAGCTCTGGGCTGCAGTTGTCGAGGGTCCTGTCCCCCACATGCATGTAGCCTGTCCTCTGTGCTGTTGGAGGAAGCTGCCATAGGATTTTCTGCTGGGTTATTGACACTTCAACACTGAAATGCACCCCACTTTCCTGATCCTGGACACCCACTTGCCAGCTAGACCTCAGTGGTCCTGGAACCTACCAGGAGATGCAGGTGCCTGGGGCCACCGGGAGTGGCAGCAGCATTGTGACAAGTGCCTCTGGCCTTTGCTCCTTGGCGTTCCTCTGCCTCGGTTCTCCTCCCATTTCCAGCAGTGCTATTTGTGTCTGGGTGGCTGCGTGGCAGGTTTAAGCCCCTTGTCAGGGACGCGTGTGGTGAGCCTCTCTCCGGCTCTAGGCCGGTTCCTCCTGTTTTCCTGTGGGTCTCTTGAGGAGCACAGTTTCTACCTTTGATGAAGTTCCCTTTTTCCTTTGTAGTTCGTGTCTTCAGGGTTCTCTGATGTGCTTGCTCCAAAGCCAGGGAGGGAATCTCCCCGTTTCCCCTGGGAGCTTTCATGTTAAACACCATTAGACCTGTGGCCGTCTCTGTGCTGTTTGGTGTGTGGTTTGAAGTGTGGAGGGAGGTGGCCCATTTCTCATGGAGATAACTAGCTGTTCTGTTTGTTGAAGATACTGCCTTTTGCTCATTGGCTGGATTTGCACTTAGATTGAAAATCAGTCGGCTCTCTGAGTTCGTGTCTACTTCCGGGGCCTCTGATCCTCTCCGTGGATGTGTTTGCCCACCTCTGCTGAAGCTGGACTGTCATGGTGTGTGGTGGCTACAGCATGAGTCTCAAAACCAAGATGGAGTTCCTGAGGATCACCCCAGTTTTCTAAGCCTTTGCATTTTCTTTCACATGATAGAATAAGCTCATAAATTTCTGCCAAAGAACCTCATGAAATTTTGATTGGAATTGTATTAAATCAGTAAATCAATCTGGAGAAGCTGAAACCTTAGTAACATGAAGTTTTCCAATGTGGGTTTGTGGTTTGTCTTTCTAATTATTTAAATCTTTACTCTCTCTCGGTATGTATTAAAAAAGAGTGCTTTTCCACATATTTCTTTAAATTTGTCCCTAAGTGTTTCTCATCTTAAAATATCTTATAAATTGTGTTTTTTWAAAAAATATCTTCCAATAGTTTATTATTGATATGTAGATAATTTTTAATGTCTTATAAATAATTTTAATGATTAAATGCGTGTAGGCAACCAAGAAAATTCACAAGGTCACGATCGTTGGTTGGTTATTTTCTTTTCCTTGGTGTGTATTAATCCCACAGCATAATGGTTTACTGTGGTGTTATGGCATGACACACCATGCACTACTGATTTTTGCATGTTGACATTGCACCCTGCAACCTAGCTGTATAACAACCTAATTATATTCCGTGTGTCGTAGGTTTCTCTTAGCTTCATGGAATTTCTTGTTTATTTCTGCAGCAATCCATGATTCAGGCATTATTCCAATAATGGTTTATGGAAAGTTTGTCCTGGGCATCTGATTTCCTCCCTGCACATCACGCAGCTTGAGGAACAGGACTGGGGTGTTAATTAGGTCCAGTCCAACTCCAGGGCCCCATCTCTTCCCCACCCTGCGGGAGGTGCCACACCTCCTGGACACTGGGAACAGTGCCTGTGGCTTTCCTGGGTCCCACAGGGACATTCTCTTGTCATCATTTTCACAGGCCAAGAATATCTGAGAAGACCCCTGGAACAGACTCAAGAATTGGAGGGGTGCAGAGGGCATTTTCAGTGAAGCAGGGGCCTCTCCAGTTCCGGCACAGCAGTGCTGAAACTGCCTGCCGTGGTAGGGTGGGCGAGACTGGCCCGGGCACATTCAGGAAGCAGGTTTGCTGAGGCTGCAGTGCCTGGAGGGATTGGTGCCAGGGTCTCTGGGCCCTGAGTTTGGAGATTGTCTTGGACGTATCCTCAGTGGGGTGGATGGTTACTTGACGGTGGGTGGGAAAGCAATATTCGCTCTCCGTCCACTCTTAGAAGAGCTTGGGATGGACTCTGACACAGCTTATGTGGACAAACCTGGCATTTCAGTCCCCTGAGCCCTTAGCAGACACCCTGCCAACCTTGATGTTTCTCGTAAACTGTCCTAACAAAAAAGGAGGCTTAATTAATGTAGGTCCTTGGGTTGGGGGTCCCTGGTCTGCTCAGTGCTGCTGCTGAGCAGCCCCCGCTGCATGGGCCTGTCAGCTGAGCCGCCTCTGCCTCCTTTCTCCTCTCCTCCCTGTGCTGTAGGAGGCCATTTCTGCACGGCCAAGGACCTGGCCGAGGAGATCTGCTCCCTGGGCTGTGAGCTCGAGGGGCTGGAGGCACTCCTGGGCAAGCTGCTTGGGCTGAGTTCCAGAAGCACCGGGAAGCTGGGATGCCTTCGCAAGGACCAGGACAGGCTGTGCCAGGAGCTGGCCCGCAGGGCTGCGGCCTACGGTGAGTGGCGGGGGGATGTCCATCTCCATATCTCCTGGCAGGTGGCCAGGCGGGACTATCTGTGCTTCTGGAACCTTGCTGAAGGTGTGCCATGGGCCACACAGCCTCTATTTTCTGTCAGAAGCCTTAGCAAACAGGGTGGTGCTACTCAGGGGTGACACCTCATCCTCAGCCTGCATCTGCCCAGGGCTCCTGACCATGCGGAGCAGCCCTCCTTGGGGTAGGCCTGTAGCCCTCCTCGGGGCAGTCCTCTCCCTCTGTGCCCAGGCTCAGTCTTCCTGTCTGCATTGTGGCCTGGCTAGCGAGAGCGTGTGCCTCTCAGGGCTTCTCCTGGGGAAGGTTGTCCACGCAGGTGCTGCCTCTGCCCGGGTCTGCTAGGAGCAGAGCCCAGGTGCTGCTGTGTCCTCCCTACACTGGTGGTCCAGAGCAGAGGCCACCAGAGGGCCCAGCCTCGGGAGTCTCCGAGGATCCTGGTTCTGTCCGAGCAGAGTCAGCAAACATTTACTTCTAAAAAAAGTGAAGGATTTAAAATGCCGAATGAAATCATCAGAAGCAAATCAGATTTAAAAGGTAATAGATGCTAGAACTTGCTTCTTCACTGGTGATGAGAATGTTTGTCTCATGGGGGGTCAGCGCTGTGGAGTTGTGTGCAAAGATCCTGGGCATGTGCGTGCTGGAGGGCAGAGGCTGAGACAGCACAGCATAAATGTTTTTCATCAGGCTGATGGAATAAATAGATGTGAATAAGCCGCCACATTTTACAAAGTATGCTTATCTGAAGAGAAATAAGAAGGAAGCAGGATCTTAGGAATCTGATCCGAAATGAGAATCTCTGAAAATATCCCACAAATTGATGTACGTGAATTTTTTTTTTCTTTTTTTGATACCAGGGATTGAACTCAGGGCCACTCGACCACTGAGCCCCATCCCTAGCCCTGTTTTGTATTTTATTTAGAGACAGGGTCTCACTGAGTTGCTTAGTGCCTCACTTTTGCTGAGACTGGCTTTAAATTCATGATCCTCCTGCCTCAGCCTCCCAAGTTGCTGGGATGACAGGTGTGCACCACCGTGCCCAGCTGATGTCCATGAAAATTAGTGTCTGAAAACCAAAAAAGGAATGTAGCATCAGCTAGCAGGAACTAGGTGTGCCATTTTGGGGTGCATCAACTTTGCTGTGTGAGTCCATCAGCTTGCAGGGGCCATGGTTACTTACTACAGAGTTCCCAGGTCAAGTGTGCTTGGTGGTACTGTGTCACTTGGTAACCAGCACCACAAGCTGGCTCAGCAACTCAGGGCTTCTCTGAGTTTCTTTTCACTTTTAAAGATCAAGCCTTGTTTTTTTCCAACTATGTAACAGGAGACTGTACACTTGAGCCTAGGTAACTTCAGTACTGATCAGGGGCAAYGTGCTCTCCCGAGATGTTCCAGCCTGGCTGATTGGGCCATGAGGGATGAGCATCATGTACTTATTTTTGCTGTTGGATTTCTAAGTGTACAAACTATGAAAGCTACGAGATTTCTCGTGGCATCAGCATGCACGAGGGGGCAGAGATTAGCTCTAGGAGTACAGAGGCTATGAATATATTTGGGCAAATAGAGTGCAGCAGTGTTTCCATGTGAATGACAGAGCTCTGGAAAACCATTAAGATCCTTTCTAAAAAGGGCTGAGCAGCGTTTTTTGAATCCCGTCCTTGTCACTTCACCAAGGATTTTCACAGTGATGAATAAAACATGCACAGGTGGAAGGAGCCGGTGGCCGCCACGGGTGCTGGATTGTCGGTGGCGCCGTATGTATGGATGTGGAGCAGCTCTGTGTCTCGTGCCTGGATCTTGCTGCGTCAGCTCCCCTGGTCCCAGATGTATCCATAGGCCAAGCTGATTCTTACCCAGTCTGAGGAGCTTTGGTTCCGGGTGACTCAGATTAGTAACCCAGGTTGCAAGCATGCAGGGGACAGATAAGTAAGGAATAAACTCCTGAGTCCGTCAAGCTTCATAATAAAAGGGAGTGTAATTAACTAGGCTGAAGCTATCCAGCCGCTTTTGGGTGATGGGTGTTGACAGTGCAGGGTGCTCTGTGTTCAGGGTCAAGTGCAAGCCCAGCAAAAACACAGCACCTGCCAGGTGATGGACTCCCCCTGGCCTTCGACATCTTGAAGTCTAATGTTCAGGAACGAGCACTACGTTGTGGTCCTGAGTGTGACTTCAGCACGGTTGTAGAAGTGGCCCTTGGGAAGGGGCAGTCCCCGCATGGAGGAGCAGCCTTGAGTGTGAGGGGCCCAGACTCATCGGTCTTGTCCCCAGGCCCCAGCAGGTGTCATTCAGTCCACGGCGCTGAGCCAGCCATACATGTGTCCAGGTCCAACCTGAAGGAGCCAAGAGAGGAGAGCTCAACACTGTTGGCTCCCTTTGAGACATCTGCACCCTCCCCTGACACTGCCACAGCCAAAGCCTGTGTTGACAGCCAGCGGCATGGGTTGTGGGAAGCATCCTTACCCGGAGGACCTTTTGGGAGGTTTTGCTGTCACATCGGGGGCCAGCCAGTTTGTGGTGTCTCACGCCAGACGCTCATGGCCACCAAGCACTTGGGGCGCTATGGGCCAGGGTCGCAGGCTAGACCGAGCTCTGTCCCTTGGATTTGGGACACCCAGCTGGACCTCCAGGCTTTGGCTTCTCATTTGTTTCCCAGTGGTGGCTTCGAGGTCTCCCATGGGAAGTGACCGAGTTGGAGGTTCAGGTCGGGGTGTCTGCAGACAGCACAGAGTGACAACAGGAAGTCCCCGGGGCAGCAGGAGGTAGGCATCACTGCTCAAGGGCTTTGTCGCCGTGGTGACTGGGTCCTACAAGGATGTGGGAGGAAGCCAGCCTGAGTGCTGCGTCTTTCTTGGGTTGGGAGAGCAGCCCAGAGTCCTGAGCAGTGTGAGGGGTGGGGAGACAGGAGGAAAAGCCAGCTCCCCCGCCCAGACTCCTATGGAGGTTACCTGAGACACTCTCGCTAGTATGGATTTCAGCAGTTTTTWTTTTTTTTCTTTTAAGGGAAAGTGGGTTAAAAACAACTGGTAACTTCTTTAGTGGGCTATGTCTGCTTTCCAGAAAAGAAGAACAGCTTGCAATTTACGTGCGTGTTTTCCCATCTCCTGCGTGTAACTTGGTGACCTGTATTGCCCTTTATTAATGATGCTGATTTTGTGTGTAACTCAGTTATAAAGCAAGCCGGTGTCTGGGGAGAGGTTCAACCACAGAATGATCAGGGCTGGGATTCTAAACAGGGCACCTTTGACGTCTCCCACTTGCTGCCAGCTGCTTGGCACTAAGATAAGCTCAGAGCCTGGCTGGGTCCGTGGCCCAGTGAGCCCTTCAGGTGGGTCAGAGATGCCCAGGGAGAGGGTCAGCCGCAGGGCTTCATGTTCCTGGGAATGACTTTGTCCACCTTGGCTTGTTTGCCCCTCAAGGAGAGCAGACGAGGGTGCTGAGGGCGGCACTCGGCTCCAGCTGAGAGCCAGCTGCCCATGTGGCAAGCCCCTGCTCTTACTTGGGGACTGGCTAACGAAAGGGAGCGGTGCCCTGGAGGAGACACTGAAGTCCATGAGGCAGCTTCCTGCAGAAACTCCCTCACCCTATGAAGACAGGGCTTTTGGCGTAGGGATCCCAAGACACACAAGATCCACTGCATTTGTCAGGTATGTTTAGCAAAAACTGTCAAGATGAATTAAACAAGAGAATGAAATCTGTGTCTCTCATTCTCTTTTTGGCAAGAGTGGGGAGGAATGGTGAACCAGAAAGGTTCATCTAACAGAGATAAAAATAATAAAATCCTATAAAAAATAGAGTGTTCAAAGGAGAGAGAAGACAGTGCCAATGACAAGTGTTAATTACTTGGTGTGAGATTATGACATGAAGAGGAGCATCCTAGGAGCAGGAGCAAAAACTGAGATTGAAGTACTGTCTGCCTCAAAAGTGACCCCGTGTGGCAGTTTTGGGGAATGGGAAACACAAGATTCTTAAGACTGCTTGAGAGCATCGCGCAAAGTCCTCACAGACAGACTGTAACACACACAAGGCACTTTTCATTTCTGTCACTTCCCTGCCACCGAGCCCCAGCCTGCCTGCCACCCCAGCAGCATGTGGCCCCGGTGTGGCTGCACCCCAGGTGCCTGAGCACCTCAGTGAGATGCTTCTGTTTTCATATCAGTGTGATGAGAAACACATGGTTGTTAGAACCACCTGGAGACAGAACCTAATCTCATTATTTGCCTTGTGTTTTATGTAGAGTTTTAGAGCTTTAAATGGGAGTGCTTGTGCCGGGGCATGGCCCATCGTAGAGAGCTCACCTGACACACCAAGGCCCTGGGCTCAGTCCAGCGCTGCCCTAAAGATGAGAACAGGACACTCCGCGATTTCCTCCCAGCTGCCCTGTGTCTGGCTGAGCTCCCGAGCTTCACGGTGTGTGGACGAGCCGTGGCCAAGGTGGCACTAAGATAAGCTCAGAGCCTGGCTGGGTCCATGGCCCAGTGAGCCCTTCAGGTGGGTCAGAGATGCCCAGGGAGAGGGTGTGTGTGCTTGGACAGGAAGGAAGGATTCCCTGCATGCCGTCACTTTGACCCCCTTCTTTTGGTTGCAAAGCCCCCAGAACTAGGTCATTTCTTTTTTTTTTTTTTTTTAAGAATTTTTAATATTTATTTTTTAGTTCTCGGCGGACACAACATCTTTGTTGGTATGTGGTGCTGAGGATCGAACCCGGGTCGCACGCATACCAGGCGAGCGCGCTACCGCTTGAGCCACATCCCCAGCCCAAGAACTAGGTCATTTCATTTCTGGACACTAAGGTGATGTAGACGCCCAGGTAGTGGCAGCAACGCAGGGCCAGGGCCAGGGCCAAGGCCAGGGCCAGGGGCTGACTCTCTGCATCCAAAGTTTCCCCACGAAACTGTTCTGGGCTTTTTATGGCAGACTCCTGATCTGAGTCTTAGCCATTTCTCAGCCCCTCTGGGGAACCTGAATAT